GACTCCCTCTTGCCGCGTGTCAAGAAAGATGATGAGTATGAGTATGAGTATTGATATTGTCCTTCTTCTTCTTCTTATTATTATTATTTTCATTACTACTATTACTAGTAGTAATATAATTTAGATATATATATATATATGTACATATATATATATATAGATATACACATTTTTTTTTGGGGGGGGAGGGGCGGTATTATCATTATCATTTTTTTTTGTTTGTTTTTTTTTGGGGGGGTGGTTCGGGTTGAGAGTTTTGTTTTCCTCTTTGGAGCCTTGTAGGCGTCGGTTCCGCGCTCGGGGGCGCCGCGGCGCCGGGCAACCTGAGAGAGGGTTTAGGATTTAGGGTTTAGGGTGTAGGGTGTAGGGTTCAGGGTTTAGGGTTTAGGGTGTAAGGTGTAGGGTGTAGGGTGTAGGGTTTAGGGTTTAGTGTACAGGGTGTAGGTTTAGGGTGTAGGTTTTGGGGTTTAGGATTTAGGGGTTAAGGGTGTAGGGTTCGGGGTATAAGGTTTAGGGTTTTTAGGGTTTAGGGTTTAGGGTGTCGGGTTTCGGGTTTAGGGTGCAGGGTTTAGTTTAGAAGCTAAGACGGAAACCCGGTTCCCCGCGGGCCTCCAGAGCGAACGCAGGGCTTTTCCTGCACTTTGGGCCAAACTCTTGTGCCTCGTCAAAGGGACGTTCAGTCGGGAACCCTTTGAGCTTTACACTGGTTCCAAATTGAATGTTTTCTGTACAATTTTAGCCTCCCTCTTTGAAGGTCAGCTTCAACCCCTCCTTGAGGGTCTTCCACCATTCATCAGCTTTAAGGGGCTTGGTCAGGATATCTGCGAGCTGGGCCCACGTCGGGACCCATACGATCTTGCCATTGTCCTTGAGATCTTCACGTATTCCCGCCAGATCGATGGCGAGTCTTTTGCATGTAGGCACCCGCGGAACTCCATCTCTGGTCAGATGGTCGTAGAGACTTCGGCAGTCACTGATGAAGCGAAGCTGGAAGCGAGTCTTAGTCCTCGCAAGCCTTCCATTGAGGAGCGTCTCGAGGAACTTGACGATAAAGATTCCAGTATCCGCTGCAGTGCAGCACGCCATGGTCTCCGCCGTAAAGGTGGAGCGACAAACTCTTTCGCAGGCGCCACTCTTCCAGTCCACAATACTTCCGCAGGTGGGCTGACCTCGTAGGACGGTGGCGTCTGCTAGCACGTACAAGCCGCCCAACTGGGAGGCTATAGTAGAGCTCGTCTTCTTTGCTTTGGCATCCTTTCTCGCATAAGGTCCGTCTTTAATGAGACCACGTTCGTCCTCCTCTGGAGTGAGCTGGTAGTAGGGATCATCTTGCGACTGGGGAGCGTTCGCCCACCCGGCATCGTGGTAGCACAGCAAGACCGCGTCCTCGAAGTTCACGGGGTAGAACGTCAGACCTTCGTCTTGGTGTTCCATAGCCCGCCTTGCCAACTGATTAGTAAAGCGAACATCTCCCGCACAGGGGTCCTTCTGCCTTTGCTGGCTCATCGACACTCCTACTTGCAGGTCTGGGCGAGTCTGGCTCGCCATCCAAGACAAAGCTCCAATCAAAGACATATTGTCGTGCTTCTGGATCTCCGTGGCCGGGAAGTGGTCGGGCGTCGTCCTGTCGACGTCCACCTGAAAAAGCCGTGTAGCCGCGTAGCTCCCTTGACTGATCTTCACCTTGTCCTCGAAGATCTCGATGTAGGATCCCACGTACTCAAAGCGGTCCATCTCCCAGTCTTGGATGGGGAACTCAGCGCTGAGCCTCTCCTTCATGATCTCGCAAAGTCGTCCTTCTCCGACAAGTAGGACGTCGTCTACGTGGACTCCGAGGTAGGCTTCCGGAGGCCCGAGGATCTCCTTGCCGTCCTTGTCTAGGCCCAAGACCTCCTGCGCCATGAAGATGCAGTGGTCCAGGGAGTTCTGAACGATCCTCCATTTCTTGTCGCCATCCCGGATGTCGATCTCGCGGAGAGTCTTGTGGAATTTGGTCCACCAGGCCGAAGGGGAATCCACCAGGCCGAAGATGGGTTTCCGGATCCGTAGTAACTGCTCTGGGTGGAGGTCGCCTAGTCCTGTAGCTGGTTGTCGTAAATATAGTTCACGCTCCAACTGCTCGCCACAAAGGAAAGCAGCTGTCACATCCCCGGCAAATCCTCGCCATCCCTTCTTGAGGTTGCTAGCCAACACTTGGAGCAGAAGGTGTATGCCTTGGCGAGAAATCGTCGGGGCGTGAGTAGACAGGCCTTTCAGAAGGTCTGGGTCACGATGCCCATGGATGACCAATCTGGCCTTCGGCTTCCATCCTACCGTGGGATCTGCTTTGCGTTGACACCAGAACTTGTCTTTGTAGGCGAAACGGCTGCCCAAGATGCGGTCGGGGCGCTCCTGGTTGATCTTACGACTCTCTTCAACTGAAAGAGGTTGTAGTGCTTGATGGTCTACATGTTCCTTCCATTGCTTTTGTTCCGCTTGACGAAAAGACTCGTGCTGGCTTTCTGGTATCAGGCGCCAGGGTATCTCCTTCTCGAGGGCCTTTTCGCGTCCTCTGGGTGTCTTCGGCAACTTCATCATGAACACTTCTTGTTCAGCTGGCATTTCAGCGTCGGATGGCGGTCCTTTGACTCGGTGGCGCTTCGTCACCTGAGCAGACCCGCTAGGATTCTCTCGCCGTCGGCTCCCTGTGTCACGGGCGCCCGTCTCTTGATCACCAGGTGGTAGTTCTGGATCTGCTTCCGCACGCATGTCCTCGTTCCCGAAGACGTCTTCTTCCGCGAAGTCCTGCTGTAAAAGTCGCTCCAAGTCATCTTGAGTGGAACGAAGCGCGAAAGCTGCTCCAAGCTCCTCTGCGCTGGCTAAGCGCAAATGTTCTGGAGCAACCAGATGGCAACGTCCGGTGAAGGAAGTCCAGTAGTTCGGTCCTTCTCGGCCAATAATGACCGCAGGGCCGTTCCATTGCCAATTATTGTTGTTCTTTGGTTTCCGATAGAAATACACATGAGTACCCACCTCGAGCTCGGGGCCTGCTACTCGCGACCGCTGAAGCAAGCTGCGACGCAGCCTGCTATCGTTCTGGCACTTGGAGTACGTTTCCTTCGCAGAAGTCCTTAGGCTGTGTTCTCGGGCGCGTTGTCGATCATGACTCATGATGTGCTCGACGTGCTCATCCTGTGGGCTGTGTAGAACATCTTCTGGCAACTTGGGATCTCGTCCCCACACGGCTTGTGAGGGACTGAAACCGCTCTCCCGACGCAGAGTGTTCATCGCTGAGTTCACTGCTGTGATCACCATACCCGCTTCTTTGTAGGTCGCGGTCTTCTCGTCCACCAGTCGCACCCAAATTTCTTTCCAAGTCCTGATGGCTCGTTCCACAGCTCCATTTTGCCAGTGTGCTTGACCTGCTATGGGGCGAAGATGGGTGCCGTGCCATTCGCTGTAGCGTCCTAGTCCTGACTGGAGGCCAGACTCAAGATCGAGAACCAGTGTTCCAGGTGCACCAAACGTGTTGCTCCATATACTGCAGAAAGAGGCCTCCATGGTCGCTGTGGAATGTCCTTGTAGAACTCCGAGACAAAGCCTGTACCGATGTCGATCGCCATCATCAGCTCGACTTTCTCCTTGTTCACGTCGTACACGTAGAAAGCGTCCAAGGCCACCACCTGGTTAAAGTCCAACAGGTTGGGAAGGGTCGCCGGCTTAGCGGAAGAGCCTCGCCGATTGCGCTGGCATACTTGGCATCGAAGTCGCTTGCACGCCTCCACCACACTCGGGTCTGCTCCGGCTAGACGCAGATGCCGGGATAAATCCAGGTTGCTGGGGTGACCTAGATTCTGATGTAGTCGTCGTAGAGAGCTCTTGACCTCTGATGCGATAGTCTTGCCGTCCTCGAATGAGATAGCCGCTGCCCCTTGCGGGGATCCTTCTTCTTGTCGACCTTCTTCACTTCCTGTGGCGTGTTGTGCCATGTACTGCACCAAACCAGGAGGTTCTACTTCTGGTAGCCCATGGTCCACCTCATGATAGACATCGTTGATCCTGACCACGTCGGGTTCTGCAGCTCGTCGTACACATCTGGCTTCATACCTCTCGAAGAGCTCCTTGACGACCCTGTTGTTCCAACAAGGATCATTTGACGGCGCCTCAAAAGCCACCTGACGACCCTTGTCGATGTGGTTGTAGAGGGTGTCCACGATGTCCTCCAAGAAGTCGCGCGTCCGGTTCCCGTGCACCCATATGATCGCGGGATCGAAGGCCTCAATCGTCTTCTGAACCATTGTAGTGTCCAGATCGGGCTCCTCGGTGGGCTCATAGGCGAACGGCTCGGCCACATAGTACTCCATGCTAGCGGCTTCAAAGGTCTTGTCCACGCCTCCAATCTCGAAGAGGGAAACAGCTTGGGGCCCTCTGGCCAAAGGAAAGGTCGTAGTAGAGCAAGTTGCTGCGGCTGAGGTGCACCAGGTAGTGAGAAGTGCCAGTCTCCCGGCCTTCTTCCAGAGGGCTCGTCTCACGCTTTTGCGGGGCCTGAACGAATTCCAAGTGTCGCCAACTCGTCCTTCTCCCAGGGCAAGGCCTCGCAAAGGAAAGCGAAGCTCACGAAGTTCATCTCGAAATCGGGCGTCGCAGTCCGGGAATCCTCGGGTAGTAAAGCATGACAAAGTCCATCGTTCTCCCTCCCACGGTTGCGTGGCATGGGGAACCTTGCCGTCGAAAGAGTACACCTGTTCTCTGGTGTCCACCAGGGTTCCGTAGCGGACTTTCCCAGTCTTGTCGGCTCTGGCAACATAGTCCGGGAGATCGGGACCTCCGTTGGGATCCTCGATCCACAGTTGGCCTCCTGAGAAGTCGCCGAACGTGACCGTAGAGACTTTGGCGCCGACCAAGTTGTGAGAGTCTGCATGCACCTCGGTGGCGGAGTTGCGGAAGATAACGAAGGAGGTCCAAGCTCCTTCATGCTTACTCCTGAGGAACGCATTCACAAACTTTGTGGTCCACGACAGCGTGCGAGATCCCCTCGATATACCCTTGAAAGGTCCGTAGGTGTACATGCCGCCCAAGAAGTACTCGAATCGTTGTCCACCTCCTCGTCGGAGGTTCTTGCCATCCTTGATCTTGGTGAGGGGGATGTTCTGCACGATCTCCAAAAGGTCGGCGTACTCGAACTCCTTGTTCCGCAGCTTGGTCTTTGACAGTTCCTCGCAGCGTCGCGCCTTCGCGCACTGAGTTTCCCACATGGCATTCTCCTTTCCAGGGGGCTTACGTTGGGCTGTGTCCCCGCAGCCTCTGGAGCTCATGTAGTCATTACCGCCGATGTTCGCGGCGGCCATGACCTCGCCAATGTCAATGCCGAAAAGGTCCCCGAAGAGGTCATCGGCGTCGTCCTCCTCAGGGAGCTCGCTGCCCTCACTCTCATCGCCATCGCCGTGTTGTCGAACAAGGTAGTTTGAACCTGCCTCACCGTTGTGCTCGGCATGGTCCTGGAGGTACTTGACCTTGTCTTCATCACAGTCAAAGTAGATCTCGTCATAGTCCTCGTCGTACTCCTGGATGTCGGGTCCTTGTCCTGCTTTCACCGGGTCCCGGGCGGGATCCCATGCTTGTCCTTGAGCACCGCCAATCTCTCCTCCAAGTACGTCGCCCACCTCCCTCGGCACTTCCAGGTCCATTCGGATCGCGGTGGGGCTCTCCGTCTCCAAGGTGCGTCGGCGATACGGCGTCACGGGCGGCTGTGACGAGCTGACTGGCCGGCTCTTGGCTTTGGCCCCCGGATAGGGGGAGGCCAACGCTTCCCTGGTCACCATGTCCCACGACGTGGTTGAGTTCGCATCCTCCACGTACGGGATGGTCGCGTTCTCCTCGGGGTCCAGGTAGTCTATCGAGGTTGCCGTTGAGCCCGCTCGGTGGGGCGAGTCCCGCCAACGATGAAGTTCTCCTTGCCACCAATTCGCGAACATCACCAAGTCCTCTGACGGGTTCTCGTTGCTGGACACCTCTCTCAGTGCCCACGTCCTGTAGTTCTCGGGGGTCTCGCTGAACATCTTCCCCTTGAACCGTCCGAAGGTGAGGATTGAAGAGGACCCCATACCCTTCTGGTCGCGCAAAATGCGCATGATCGTGCCCTTCGTGGCGTACGGAGGAAGGTGGTAGCCCAACTCCATGGCCTTCTCCTTGAGCTGGTCCACCGTCATACGACTCATCCCGGCATCTGCGGGGTGATTCCCTGATGGCCTGCGCCGGTCCTCCTGAATGAGGGATCTTATCTCTGTTGAAGTCCATGAGGGATGGAACCACAGGTTCCGCGCCGTGGCCTCGGTGATGAGCTCTGCCTTCGTGAACTCGGACAGGTTCTTGGGTCGCGTGATCACCGGCGCCGTGAGGAGGTCGGTCGGAGTGGCCATCTGTCGGCGACGGCAGGCTGGGGGGGTAGGCGGGCATCTGCTTGCGTCTACGAAAGACAGTCCTTCCAACCCAAAGCATCGGTAGCGACGAGTCGTCGACATCGTTCTGCCAAGTACCGTGAGTGGCAGGGAACTCTCTGTGGGTCTTACACGAGATGGCGTTCACGGTACGTACTGCTCCAAGGCTTTTGATGAGGAGTTGTTTGCGAGTAGTGTTAGTGGTTCGCCAATGCAAGGGATTGAAGAAGGACCTGCGGGGAGTTACATGAACTCGTACAAGTAGATCTTCGTTCTCGACCCAAAAGTCGTTGGAAATATTTGTAGTAGACCACCAAGACGCGAAGGTTTCAGGGTTGAAGGTCTCATCGAGGAGGAGGTTCTTCGTGGCGCTGCCAATCTTCTTAGGGTAAAAGACGTAGTCGTAGGAGGTCTGGGAACTCGGGGAGTGGTTTTCTGAGCGACCATGCGATGCGTCAACAGGTAGACCATGATCGTCATTTGCATTCACCATCCAGACAGACGAGCATCGACTCACACTCATGTAGACGGGATCCACTTCATCTTCACCACCATGCAATCCCTCGGACCCCTGACCCTTGCAGACCCCAATGTATGCTCCCTCGCGCGAGAAGATCTGGATCTCCTGAGCGTCCCAAGTGGTGCTAATGCCACCGGTGTCGGGCAAAGCAGCGGGATGCACAACGAAAGCCGGATGACCGGACTCAGTGATAGAGAGGACCATGTCTCTCACTCCGAGCTTCCTGAACGAGGCTGTGTTGTTCTCCACGTCAATGATCATGCCGAGCTTCCCTAGCGCGCCTCTTGAGACCAAAAGTGGAACTTCTCCATTGACCACCGCAACCTTCAAAGCGATCTTGTAACCCCCGAGCTCGAAGCCTAAGACCACCCCATACGTAGCCACAAAGACCTTTGACGCCCCAAACCTAAAAGCTTCCTTGCACGACACAAACTGTGACTCCACTCCTTGGCGTTTGGCTTCTGCGAGGTAGGAGTCTATCCAGCTGGCCCCAACCACGGAGCGTGAGCACGCAGTGTCGGTGATTGCGAGGAAGTCCTGGTGCTTGTTGGCATCGATCTCCCAGGTCACGTGTACCACATGGCAGGGAAAGTTTGCTCTCACCGGGTCTTTGGTAGAAGGCGCTGTAGAAGAACCATTGGTAGCTGAAACCGAGGGCGAAGGATTGGGCGCGCCATTGCCTCTATTTAAAGGACAGATGGCGTCTTTATGCCAATGGCCACGCCTCTTGCAGCCTGCACAAAAAGACTTGGCTTTCGCAGCCTTGAGCTTCTCACTTGCCAGCTGTTTTAGGCTTTCAGGATCGCTTCCGCGCAACTTTGTGCTTTCCCTGTACTTCTGCTTTGCCGAGGCATGCGTCATGAACGCCTGGTACAAGTCCTGCGCCACCTCTTCCGGAACCAGCTCGTCATCCTCGAGATCGTCCTCCTGGGCCTCGTTCACATCGAAGATGTCGTAGTCCTCGTAGTCCGCCACATTCGCCGAAAAGGGCTTTCGGCCGTTCCAGTCCTTGCGAGGAGGTCGAGCTTGACCTTCCCAAGGTTTGCGAAGACCACGATCATGAACTATGGCAGCTTGTTGGAGAGGCTTAAGAGAGTACTGGTTCCCGACGGACGCAAGCAGGTTGAGCTCTGCCTGTTCTTCCAGGCCCATCCTGTCCACAAAGACCCATGCCGCCGCAACATCAGGGAGGTAGCAACCGACTTCCGTCAGGCGCGAAAGCGCCCGATCAAAGTCTGCCATGTAGTCCCGCACCGTCTGGTTTCCTTTTCGGTGGAGTCCTCTGAAGAACCCTGAGAGGCTTCGGCCAATCTGCGTGACCTGAACATCCAAGTACCTATCCCTGATCCAGTCAGTCAGGTAGTCGACGCCAGCTCGCGAGGCCAGCTTGTCCATGTCCAACCTCTCCGCGTCGACCCAAGCTTTGTCTGTCAAGTGTTGATACAACGTAAGTCCTTGTTGATCTTCGCTGAGTCTCGTCATACGCCTCCACGCTGACACCTGACGGAGGTACGACCTGGCTGTAGTCCCCAGGTCCTCACTTCGGTCTCCGGTATTCCCGGAGAAAGTAGGGACCAGCATCTTCTCGGAAGGTCCTCTCCCCCCTTCGGCTCTGACACCGTGGTAGCCCTTGCCTTGGGCCTCGGAAGACGGCCCCCATCCATCCGGAAGGCTGCCATCTCGTCCTGCAGACACGTAGCATCCCCACTGTCCAGCCGAAGAAGACTCCTTGGAGTGTCGCTCTTGGGCCCCTCCATCGGTGGAGCCTGATCCTGTTGATGCTGTGCCCCATGCTGGCTTTTGCCAGCGTCCGTCATTGCCGTAGCCGCGGGCAGAGTCATACGACCACCCAGTCTCGTTCCATCCGCGCTCGGCTCCATCCCAGGAGTGACCCCACCGGCGGGACTGCCAGCCTTCACTCCATTGACTCCAGGGTTGCTCTGGAGCCCACTGATGCCACGTTCCACCACGATCGTTACCTAGATGACCTGCTGAGTCGTCGTCTCTAGCAACATCGCCTCCGCCATCATCATGTCCCGGCGGAGAATCGTCACCAAGTTGTGGATCACCATCCCACGAGGAGTGCGCATAAAAACTAGTAGCACCGCTAGTCACCATGGCAAAGAGGGCACGGCCCGACTACAAAACTACGAGGTCCTAGGAGCGCTAGTCGCTCCGCTACCAATTTAGAAGCTAAGACGGAAACCCGGTTCCCCGCGGGCCTCCAGAGCGAACGCAGGGCTTTTCCTGCACTTTGGGCCAAACTCTTGTGCCTCGTCAAAGGGACGTTCAGTCGGGAACCCTTTGAGCTTTACATTTAGGGTTTAGGGTTTAGGGTTCAGGGTAGAAGGTTTTAGGGTTTAGGGTCCAGGGTTTCGGGTATAAGGTTTAGGGTTTAGTATTTAAGGTTTAGGGTTTACGATTCAGGGTTTAGAGTTTAGGGTTCAGCGTTTAGGGGAGAGGGTTTAGAGTTTAGGGTTCGGGGTTCAGGGTTCAGGTTTTAGGGTTTAGGGTAGAGGGTTTAGGGTTGGGGAATGGAAGCTTTTGCACCTGCCCAGACTAAGTTTGTCATCCATCTAGTTCCTAGTCTTGCCTTCGCCTTTTTCCTTCTGCTTGTGTGTGTGTGGGTGGGGGAACCCTAAACCCTAAACCCTAAACCCCAAACCCTTTCTGTTTTGGCTTTTTCACTTTTGCGCACACTCTTCGCCCATGCATATGGACCTTTCTTTGAAATGGACCCCCCCCCCACCCAAACCCTGTAAACCTTCAACCCTAAACCCTAAACCCCAAACCCCATATCCCTAAACCCTAAACCCCTAAACCCCAAACCCCTAAACCCCAAACCCCTAAACCTAAAACCCTAAACCTAAAACCCTAAACCCAAACCCCTAAACCTAAAACCCTAAACCCCTAAACTCCAGACCCCTAAACCTCAAACCCTAAACCCCAAACCCCTAAACCTCAAACCCTAAAACCCTCAACCCCAAACCCCTAAACCCCTCAACCCAAACCCCTAACTCAACCTTAAACCCTCAACCCCAAAACCCTAAACCCTAAACCCCTTTCCCCCAAACCTCTAAACCTCAAACCCAAAACCTCTAAACCCTAAACCCCTAAACCCCACAATAAGGGCCAATAGCTACTATAACTAGGTTATAATTATTTTTTCCTAGGGAATCCTTAAAGGGAATAGGGTTATAACCTACTTATACCCTAAACCCTAAACCCTAAATCCGTTTACCTAGGGAATCCTTAAAGGGAATAGGGTTATAACCTACTTATAGTAGCTATTGGCCCTTATTGCAGAACCCTAAACCCTAAACCCTTAAACCTAAACCCGATACCCCTTAACCCTAAACCCCCTAAACCCTAAACCCCAGAACCCTAAACCCTGAACTC